TTGAACAGTGAAGATGTTTAACAATATTTTTCAATTGGGATTTAAATTCTAGAGAACGGTTTCTCTTCCTGGTGACCTGTCTTAATGGTGCCCAAGAGCTTCGTGATGCTGGCCTGGCACGGCTTTCTGCTGGCGCGTCTTCCTCCGTGCATTTCCGAGCGTGCACCAGTGCACCTCTCGGTTTTCAACACATCCATGTGTCTCTCTCTGAACAGGGAAGAGTCTGCCTTTCCAGCAAGGTAGCAGGAGCAAAACCAAACTGATGAATCTCAAATTCCTACAAGAATCAATTGTGGGAGAGGTAACTTAGGAAAAAAGTCTCCTTGTTTTCAAATACAGACCTACCACATGAGTACAGTTGAGGGAAGGATATTTACCTCACACCACTCAGGATGGCCATTATCAAAACATGTACAAACAATAAATGCTGGAGAAGGTATGGAGAAAAGGGAATCCTCTTACACTATTGGTGGGAATGTAAATAGGTACAGCCAATACGGGGGACAGTATGGAGGCTCCTTAAAAAACTAAAAATAGAGCTACCATTTTTGGCTGAGCAATCTCATTCCTGGGCATATACTTGGAGAAAACCAAACCATAATTCCAAAAGATACATGCACACCAATGTTCCCTGCAGCACTATTTACAAGAGCCAGGATACGGCAGCAACCTAGACGTCCATCGATAGATAAAGAAGATGTGGCACATATACACAATGAAATATTACTCAGCTATGAAAAGGAACAAAACTGTGCCTTTTGCAGAGATGTGGATGGACCTGGAGAGTGTCACATGGAGTGAAGTCAGTCAGAAAGAGAAGAATGAACATCATACATTAACATGCATTTAATAAGAGGAGTCTAGAAAAATGGCACAGATGAACCTATCTGCAAAGCAGAAATGGAGACGCGAATGAGAGAACAAACACATGGACACCAAGGGGAGAAAGCAGGCAAAGTGAGCTGGGAGGCTGGGATTGACACATATACGCTATTGATACTGTGTGTAAAATAGAGAACTAGCGAGAACCTACTATTCTGCACAGGGAACTCAATGCTCTGTGGTGACCTAAATGCAAACGCAATCCAAAACGGAGGGGATATATACACGCACCTCTAGCTGATTCACTTTGCTGTGCAGTAGAAACACAACATTGTAAAACAACTATACTCCAATAAAAGTTTTTTAAAAGGATATTTTGTATTTAGTCATTCAGCAAGAGATGCACAGAGGGCAGACCCTGTTAGAAAGGCAGGGGGTGGCCTCAGAAGCTAGAACTCAGTTGTCTGTAAGTCCACAGTTACAAGTGTGTGCAAATGCTATTTGGAGGGAACAAGTGTAAACTCACATCCTTGAACCCCTTCGGGTCCATCAACTGCCTTTATGTCTCTCCCACTATTTCACATGTAACTAGTTCTACTGGATTCTCTAAAGCAGAAGGCTTCTGAAGGCATCAGCCGGACCAATTCCAACTCCACCCTGCTAACTCTCAGGTACCACCATGGAATCAATCTCAAATATGATGCTTTAGAAATCCGCAGTTAAGAATCAGGTAGATATGTTTCAACTTGGAAATAACTCTGTATGCGCAAAATTCAAAACATGAGCATCATCTGAGAATAATTTTCCACCTACTATATTAGCATCAGAAAAAGCACTCTAAATCAAAGAAAAAAGTCAACAGTCAGGTCCTGTTTTTGCTGGTAGAAAGAGTGCTGTTGTACAAAGAGGGGTATATGGTCTAAATCTGTCAAGAATGAATCTCCTCAGATGAATGGTCTTTCTTTAGTTTTTCCAAAACATAAATACCTTCTGTGGTTATGTATATGTAACAGAAGCACTGGATTTGCCTATGGAGTTATTTTACCTAGCTTTCCTTACTCTTTTCCAGGAACAAAGTGTGGACTCCTGCAGTGTGTGTAGGGACACAGGAGGAACAAGGTCTCACGCGGCAGACACGTTCAACTCTGGACTCACAAAACCTTCAGGCGCCGTTCTAGGCAACGTAAAACAGGGTCAATTTCAAAACCTCTTTCCAACAGCACCCTTTGAAAGCAGGATGTCACTGAATATCGTCTCTCATGTCAGGCTTGAGCTGTTACCTGCGTGTTCTCAGAGGGATAAGCGTCGCCTGTGGTGGGCACAGACTGAGTATTAAGCAGCCGCGTCACGAAGCCACACAGCTCCCCGTCTCCAGGAGCAAACTGGAGGCAAGAGTGGGCCAGGCACAGCAGTGTGCTAGGAGATGCATCTGGGGAGATGGCGGGGGAGGGGGGCGCCGTATGCAAAAGTTGACCCCAGATCAGGAACACGGCCCAGCTCTGGGGCTGGGACTGCATTGCTGCAGCAGCTACGTTTCCAGTTCATGAATGCGCTAGGCTCTGAAAGCTTCTGGAGGCTTCTGTTCAGATTCTGAAAGACGCTGTCTGGAGTTCCGAGTTGGGAACAGATTGAGCTCTTCCTGCCAAGAAACATAAACAGAAGAGCCCAGTGCTCTGGTTCATGAATCTTCAGAGCGTCTCTACCTTGTGGGCCAGGAATCTTCTAGATGTCCATCGCTAAGGAGGCAGTGTGACCTCGTATCACATGACTAAGTTAATTACAAGGCTGAAATAGAATTTTTCTGGCTTAGAAACAACAAGGTCTGGCTGGGACTCAGGCTGAAGGGCACTCTACTACCTGTGGTTACACCCAAGTTTGGTGCACACATTTTAGTGTGTAAGTAGGACCTTGGAGGACTTGCTAAAACAGCCTAAATAAAGGATTCTGTTGAAGTGCCTTAGATTTGTCCAGCTGACTACAAAGGCATTTATGAATTGGTGGCACTTCACCCTGAACTGCCTTCAGCAGTCAGGGCAGCACACCTATTATCTGACACGCTTGAAAGTACTAAGACACATATTTGCTGGCCTTTTATTCCTTTCAATTAGTCCAGATTAATGAAGCTTCAATTTTATCACCAGAGACAGATATCTCTGTCATGGGTCTTCTCTTCATCGCAGAAAGGGATTCCATTATTTGTTTAGAGGAGACTTTCCACTGGTTTGCCAGCATTCCTTCAAGTTTTACTCAGACTAAGATGCAGCTTGAGTCCGGTTACAAGTCTGCATCCATACACTGGTGACGGTCTCTCTGCCTGTCACCCTGGGCTAGGTCAGAACCTAGAGGTCACCCTGTGCAACAGTGTCATTTTCAGATGGGGACTGAGGTTCCGAGAAGTGAAATGACGCCCATGTTTTATAGCCAGCTTTGCCCAGCACCGACCAGGATTTCAACCCTCAACTTGACACCTTAGGTGAGAATTGGAATCAAAGCATCGTCTGATTCCTGTGCTTCCTACAAACACGTTTACTTGTTCTCGTCAAACTGTTATGTCCCCCGTGTGATCCCAGGGAGTCACCTGCCACGAGGCTGGCTTTCAGTATGGATCCAAAAGGGCAGGAGACAGATGACCTGGTCAGTTGAAGAAAACCATTTAGTTTACTCAGCAAAAAGGGGACATCATGAATAAAAACCCAAATGAACTTTTTGGCCAACCTAATATCATCTGTTAGTTTTTATCCTTTAATCTCTAGGTTTAAATTTCCTAGCAGTAATTACCCCTAACCTCTGCCTGTAATCACAACAGCACTCAATACGAAGTCTTCCTGCAGCAATTAAAAAAAAAAAAGCCCTCTTTTTTTCATGCTAAACTCTGATATCTAATTAGTACAATAATAATTTCCCCCTTATCAGGATAATTGCATCTTTGAATATATATTTTTCAGACTGGAGAGCTCTGTTGCACAGGCATCTTCTAGAAGACTGAATGCAGGTCTGTTTTGTTACCCATTCATTTGTGACTTCAATCATTACTGTAAGCGCATCTTCTACAAAACAAATGCTAAATTATACATTGTGTATCTTTCCAAGCACATTAGATAAATTTTTAAACAGACCAGAGGAATGATCATGTCACAAGCTTAAAATAAACTAAGTTACAGGGTGGATTCCATAACTTCATTTAATATTGATAGCAGCTCCATTTAAACCTTGAAAAAGCAAATACCTTTAATAAATTTCATGTGAATAATTATATATTTTGATATAACTATCATACAGGAGTGTGTACATATAGAAATCTATAGGTAGACTTATATACATTTCAATATATACCATATATATCTTTTTTTCTTCTCAAATTTTTCTTTTTAGTAAAACAAAGCAGTTTTACTTGTACATGGACGTGTGATGCTACGTTCAGTCCTGAGTGATTTAAGGGATCATTAATAAACTACAGTAAATTCTAGTCTTGCAGCTTAAGATCCAGTAGATTCAGTAACAAAAATGTGAACGAAATGTTTAAAAATATGCATTCAATGAGGAGCTGGTTTTGTGCTTAGCAGAGAAAGCTCGAACGTGCACGACAGCCATTTGGTAAAAACTTCTTGAATATTCAAGATTAAATGAATATCCTATTTCAATGGATTTATAGAAGCTGATGTAACCTACATCCAATGTGTCAAGCATGGAAGACTCCAGTCATGATTGGACTGAAAATCCCTTTTGCAGAATGTGAAATTCTGTGTAAACATCGGTGCTCAGGGATTATACAAAAAGTTCAGACTCAAATGGGGAAAAAGGAAAATACAGTGAAATAATTTAAGATGCTTTTCTTGGGATACAGCCAGCCACATGGAAGGGATATTAAAAAAAATAAAAGCGTATTCTGGTGAAGGGGGAAACCAGATGAAAGTCACTGGGGAGGTCTACCAGGCACCCACCAGGGAAGCCCAGGCTGGCTCCAGGGGCCCACGGTGACGGAGCCTCCGGGACAGACCCTGCACACAATGAGAAGGCCACATTCACCCTGAAGGGCGGGGGCGGCCGCCCCCAAGGTCACCGTGGCCAGCGCGGCCCGGCTCTGCTCAGGCACTCGGAGGCGGCGGCGGGGGGCCCAGGCCCCTGGCGGGGGCTGCTCGGGCCAGAAGGCACTGTGCGGCGGGCTTGCATCTCCAGCCCTACCCCGTCCCGTGGCTGCTGTAGTCGAAGACGCCCTTCTTGAAGAACGGCGAGAACTCGCACACCGTGTGTTTGGACAGCGTCAGCCCCACCTTGTCGATGTGCAGCGGGGACGTGGCCGACTGGAGCATCACGCTGAAGAAGTCCCTGAGGTACCGCTGGGAAGAGACGAGAGGCAAAGACACGGTCAAGGCAGGGGCAGGGAGGAGGCGGCGGCGCCTAGAAACAACGCCCCTGCTGGCACGGAGGGGCTGCCACTGTCAGAAACAGCGCAGGGACCCTCCTCTGATGCCTTCCCCACGTCGGACCCACCTGGGGAGCAGCCACGGCGCCCAGCGTGCGGCTGACACTTCTTGGTTCTGAACTCATAGGACATGTCATCTGCAGACAGGCCCAGGGAACGCCGGGCAGCAGGCGCTGGGGGTGGGGTCTGCTTTCCAGCATCGTGCCAGTAGTTAATACCCCGCTTTTTCAGCCAAGTCACATGTGCTGAGTCACTTCAATTGTGTCTGACTCTTTGCAACACTATGGACTGCAGCCTGCCGAGTCATGTCTCCCTGTCCAACTCACTAATAGGAAGACCACTAAGAGGAAGGAGAACAAAACTGCTCATGGTCTGCACGATGCTAAATGCACATTTTTACTCTTGTTGACCGGGGGAATTTTGCAGAAACTAATGTCTCTGGCACTAATATGTCCATAGTCAATAATGTGTCAAGGGGCACAGGCCCTTTCTGCTTTGCAGCCTTCTTATACACTAAAGGAAAGGAAACACTGTGGGCAAGAGGGTCCACTGCAAACACCAACATTTACAGACCAACCAGCAAAGGAAGCTCTTGCTGAGATTAATTTGCTCTGAACCCCATGCTCACCCCCCACCCCAACATTTGCACACGTCTGTGGCAGCACTGGCCTACTTTTCTGGCACCAAACTCGCAAAGCTGCTCTGAGTCCAAGACCTGAGATGCTGGGGCTGAAATCAGACATGGGCACCAGCAAGATGTGTTAATGGAAAACAGAACATGCAGAAATATTTCATACAGTTTCGGTATGGCAAAGGTTACCTATAACTGAAAATGGGGTGCAGGGGGGTGGTTTTAGGCCTGAATCTTTATTACTCTCTCGGCTTGTTTAAAAAATAAAAATCCTATCACAAACTCAGAAATTAAACACAGTAATCATGGATTCTGAGTAACAGAACAATTCTATGAAACATGGTCTAGAACAGCGGTTCCCAAGCAGGGGTGATCTGCCCCATAGACATTTTCACAGTGGGGGGTGGGCGTGTATCTAACAGGTAGAGGCCAGGGATACAGCTAACATCCTACAATGCTCAACATCCTACAAGCCTCTGTGCAAAGAAATATTTACCCCAAATGTCAGTAGTGACACGGATAACGAACCTGTGGCCTGGGGGAAGCCAAATTCAGCTGGCTGAAACTTAGCTCTGAAAGAAGACATTCTGCTCAAGGAAAATCTCTTAGCTACTTTCTTAAAAGCAGTAACAGGGACTACTAACAATTAACACTTGTACAGTAATTTATAGTTTCTAAAAATCTAACACCTAACTCTTTGTGTTTTACGGAAGCATAACTGATGCCCAGTGGCTGAGTACTCTCCCAAGGCAGGACCTGCAGAGTGCTGACACGTGGAGATGTCTATGAAACCAGCAGCAAAGCAAGGTGACAGGCGTTCGGACCACACCCAAAGGGGTCCTGCATCACCCAACTGTAGGTTATCTTCATGCTCTGCCTATACCTACCTCTTTCTTTTCTTTTAATTACTGTAACACCCATTATCTGGTGAGCAAGGCTAGTAATCCAGAGAGGAGACTTGAGAGCAAGGATTTTTAACTCAGGCTGTTTCCCGTGTTCAATATTCTTAACTTCCTGATCTCATGGTAATCGCTCAAGAAAGGCTCTCTAAACAAAAAGCAGGTCAAGATAAGAAGGTGTCAAAACCAATTGCTAGAAAATGGACACCTTGCTCCAGGACTTATTTGCATCAAAGAAGCAGAAGAGAACAGCCTGACTTTTCTGGGGGCAGAAAAGCCGGGAACATCGACCGAGAGGGACCCGAGGTCCAGCAAACACGGTTACTGTGAAATACGCATCTGGCAGGAGGGGGACCGGGGCCGCCCCTGCGGTGAGCTGTGGCGGCAGCCCCTCCGCGGGGTGAGACAGGACCTGGGCCGTCACCTCAGCAGCTCCCTGCAGCCCACGCCCCCACGGCCAGGCTGCAGTGCAGACTGATGTCCACGCCGCCTGCCTTCCAGATGCTTTCTGACCGGACGGAAGGGAACAGATGATGTATCAACATTTGTCATCATCAGTTCATGAAGCAGGGGCCCTTTAAAGGGCCAAAAAGCCTGAAGGATACTGAAAAGAGAAGAAACAGTAAAACCAGAAATACAGTGCAAAGAGAGGGGTCTGGAGATCCCGCTTCCCCACCCGGGGAAGCCCCGTAAAGAGAGAGCAAGGAAGCAGCTGCCGGTGATGGCTTTCCTTAAAATGAACGCGTCAGCATGCCTCGATGAAACCTCCTGAGAGAGGGATCTGACCCAGCTGATTCTCAACATTATGGAAGAGCCTTTTCTTTGCGATGAGTCTGCTCAGCAGAATCGGGTGGCCTTGGCTCCCTCTTCCTAGACCGCTTCTTGGTCAAAGAAGGGCTGTGAGTAGGAAGTGTTCTTTGTGGAGACCTCAGCATCCTCTGAAGTGAAGAGGTAACGCGTGGCCTTGGTTGGCTGTGCCCAGAGCCACGGGCTTGCAGTGGGCTGAGCAAATCCTTTCTGGTGAGTGACGAACCCAAAGGACCAGGGCTGGGACCGGGGACACAAGAAAGAACTAAAATTGCAGAAAGTGCCTGGGGTCACAGACAGCATCTCATTCTCTGTAATCCCCCATTGTCCTGGGACACTGCCGAGTTGGGGGAAGGTACTTACAAGCAAACTTGATGACTAATATTGATGAGTTCACTTTTAAAAACTGAAATGTACAGAGAGAAAACAGCATCCATCATGAATGTACAGCTAAATGAGTTTTCAAAAAGTGAATGCACAGGTGTGCTGAGCACTGGGCTAAAACATCACGTTTTTAGAGCCCTGGCAGCCGTGCCCACACTCCGTCCTCCAGGGTAACCACCGCTCCGGCTTCCTGTGCCACCGATCCGTTTTGCCAGGCTTTGAACTTGATACCGATGGGATCCCACAGGGCGCACTCTTCTGTATCTGGTTCCCACTGTCTAATGTGACGCTTGTGAGACTTGTGCACCCGGGTGGGTGTGCTGTGGTCTGTTCCATTTTCACTGCTGCGTAGTATTCCATGTGCCCCATCCACCCACTTACTGAAGTGGAGGGGTACGGAGGGGTGATGGGTTTGGTTTTTTTGTCTGACCTTTTCAGTAATGAAATCAACTTCTGTATAACAGTGTTGGGTGAATCAAGTTTATTACTATTCCTACAATAAAGAAGCTCCCCGTTAGGACTTGAGGCCTCAGTCTAATGTACCAGAACTCTGCTACTGCATGTATATCGACATACATCCTAATTATATATAAAATACATACTTAAGTACACACATTCATATTAATAAATTCTGCTGCCTGTGCTCCTAGAATTTTCCACAGCACCTGTGGCCAAAGGGAGAAAATTAAAGTGCTTCCTGTCAAAGCTCTCTCTCTAATGTTGAGTCCAAAGACACCCCCACCCTCCCTGGTGTGTGAAAATAAGTCCAGGAACTGAGCCACCTCCCCGGGGCAGTTTACTTTTTACAAAACTCAAAGACACTGGGAGCTTATGTGCTCATCAGGGTCAGAAGGGCAAAGCAGGAGAAGGATCTGTGAAATCCAGTATCCAATTTGTTTCTTTCACATGGCTTCTTCTCCAAGAAAATCAGAAAAGCAGACAAATCTCAATCTCTGTAGCCACTGTTGTTGTTCAGTCGCTAAGGCATGTCCAACTCTCTGCAACCCCATGGACAGCAGCACACCAGGCTTCCCTGTCCTCCATTATCTCCCTGAGCTTGCTCAAACTCACAGAGACGCCATCCAACCATCTCATCCTCCGTCACCCCCTTCTCCTCCTGCCCCCAATCTTTCCCACCATCAGGGTCTTTTCCAATGAGTCAGCTCTGCATATCAGGTAGCCAAAGTATTGGAGCTTCAGCTTTAGCAGCTATTAGGGATCACAGAAGGCCCGCAGGACACCAGGCTGCCCTGGTGGCGGGGTTGGGGGAGGTCACATCCAAGTTTCTGCTCTGTGAAACACCCCAGATCAGGGCTGCTAAGAATGGTGGCTGCACCTGCCATGGTTGGGAGACATTCCAGCCCTGCCTCGGAAAGCCAGATGAAACCCAATCTTTCAGTAAGACTGCCATCAGGAAATGGAGTGCAGAGCAAGAACGGGTCTGGGGATGTCTTGAGAGTGAGCAACCGAGGAGATGGGAGGGACTGAGAGGACATGGAGCCCAAAGAGAGGCAAGGGGCAAGCTGGGGGATGGGGAGCGGGATGAGGTGGGATCAGGGGTGGTGGGGAGAGAAGAGGAGGGAGAGAGGGGAACCACACACCACGCTGGGGATGGAGGACCACGCTGCTGCTGCTGCTGCTAAGTCGCTTCAGTCGTGTCCGACTCTCTGCGACCCCATAGATGGCAGCCCACCAGGCTCCCCCATCCCTGGGATTCTCCAGGCAAGAACCCTGGAGTGGGTTGCCATTTCCTTCTCCAATGCATGAAAGTGGAAAGTGAAAGTGAAGCTGCTCAGTTGTGTCCGACTCTTCACGACCCCATGGACTATAGCCCACCAGGCTCCTCCGTCCAGGGGATTCTCCAGGCAAGAGTACTGGAGTGGGGTGCCATTACCTTCTCCAGGAGGACCATGAGCTCTTTCAAAGTTGGCAAAAAAAGGTCTAAGAACAATAGATATGTTAGACATTTATCTAGGTTTCTTTTAGCTGCTTGGACTGACACTGTAGTATAAGGCGTTTTCTTATCAATGCTTTTGGAAAATCAAATTTAGATGACAACTCTTTACAGCATACTTCAGTACTGATGCACAGCACCTTGATTTCAGAAACTGTCTTTCTTCTACAGGTTGTGGGCATGCGTGTGTGTGTGTGTGTGTGTGTGTGTGTATCTATGTATCTATTTTTTAAGTCAAT